TCAGCCATATATAATAGAGAATGATGACTGGGAGACACTTTATCAGGATTCATGTTAACTTGCTAGTCCAAATCCCTGACTTATATTTTCTTGAAGGGACTTATTTGCACAGCATCTAAGTACATGAGACTCATTGAGAACCACCTGAACATGTTCCCACTGAGCTGAAGCTAGGTGCCAGGACTCAAGATTTAAAAAAGCTAATGTGAACCCTTCTTTATATATATAAGATTGTTTCCACCTTATGGTAACAGTGGTGTCCAATAGGATTTTGATGCTCCCCAAACTTGTGGCGACCAGACCACCATATTCATCACATTATACAAAACATATGCACTATTAATAAAAAGAATGCCCAATCTTTTGAAATTAGATTTGGGGTTGCAAACTGTTATCAATCAATACTGATACACAGTAAAATACAAAATAAAATGGTGAGTGGCGAACGTATTGGACACCACGGGTATAGAGTCCAAAGATATAATTTGGTTCTTTTTACTCAAGGTCAAGCCAAACTAATGAGTAAGATAAGAAATTGGGCTGAAAATTGGGCTTTGATCTGATATAACATTGTTGTTTCCCATTTCCATGTTTCAGTTGCTTGATCTGAATGAGCACATTGCCTGAAAGGAATGGATCAATATTCACTGCATGTTTTCAGTAAGCCTGCCAATCTTGAACATAGTCCATAGCTTGAGCAAATGTCTTCATGAGACTGAATCTCTGAGGTTCTCACAGAACAGTTCTGCCCAAGTTTCATTCCTCCCATACATCTCAGTTCTCTTTAGTAATTAGAAGTTGAATTGGGAATCAGTCACCTATAGTTTGAACACCAAATGTGCTATACTAAAGTGCCATTACAATATCAATATTTGTGCTTGTGCTAGAAGCAAAATAGTTATTATCCTTATTCTGATTATTAATAGTTTGATGTTCTTATGATTTTGAGTTTAGCATCAGTCGGACATCAGTTCCTGGCCATGAAGTTGTCAGTCTATATCTACAGTCAACATGACCTTGGAGGGAAGTGATTTTATATTTCATTTACTATTTTTCAACTTCACTTTCCTTTTGGTTTCCATTTGCTAAATTTATAAATCAAGAAGACTTAGCATTGTTTCTCCAGACCAAAAATTAATTATATGGGGTGGGGCAAAAGTGAGGAAATACAGGAATTTTGGGGAACTTAATTTTTCTTTCTGACTGACCTTTCACTGATACTCACTGCGATCAAGATCTTGTGTGTTGATTGTTGCGGCTGTATGGGCACTTGGGCCAAAGGCACCATTGGGCTGTCTTCCCCTGTTGCACCCAGTGTCTTTTTTACATTGAGAGCACTGCTGGTTGTCTGGAATTTCACTATCAAATCTGAAATGCTGTGAATCAATAATCATGGCCTAATTGAGTGTCTTTCATGGTAATTGTACTAGTTTGCAATAAACTGTTATTTGTTTTTGTGTTATTGCCTACTCCACTCATTATTTTGTTGTAATACACCATTGTTACGTTATTTTGCAACAGTGTGTCAAAAATCACTTTCAAATGTTGGCTGTCTAAATGGCTAAATTGTGCAAACTCAAGCTTGGAGGTCACCAACATGAACAGTAATAGAAATGACATTATCACCAAAATTGCTATTCATTCTTGTTCCAGGTGGGTAATGGTTGTTCATTTAGACCAGTTTCAGTTGACATGACAGGAGTACTTGTTCCTGTACTCCCAACTATTGCATGCCAAATTGATGAAAAAGGGGGACAGAAACAGGGGCATTACAGCAGTCACTTTGAAAATTAAATTCTCCAAAAAGTCATGTTCCTCACCTTTGCCACCTTGTATAAGTGTTTCTTTGATGCCTTCAGTTGTTAGTGTTGATTGAGATTACATCAGTCTAAGAAAACAGGAAAACCCACCCCTTCAACAGTATAGGACAGAAAACTTTTCTCCTTTCAAGTAATCAATTTTAGGAGAAGGAAAATCCACCTGGGCATCCCCCTGGTAGATTTGGAACAGGGTGAACGTCCACCTCTATGGATTTGGAGGATGATAAGTTCCCGTAGGATGGAATTGGAACCAGGTGGTTGTCCCCCGGGTAGATTTCCACATGGAGGACATCCGCCTAATTCAAAATCCATCCCCGGGAGGGGATATTTTTCTCACCCTCGGTGAATGTTTTGTAAGGGCGAGCTTTCTGAACCGGCCAAAACAACTTTCACGCCGCAGAACACAAGAGGACCAGAAGGAAGCAGCCACGAAGGCTAAGGGTGTGACGGTAGTTGAGGAAGTGTCTGGAGGGGGAGTCGAGCCCTTCTGAAATGAGCAGCTGCACGTCCCAAGTGTTTTGTCCTCGTTAAAAGAGTGGAAGCAAGCCATTATCTTATGGAGGAGGAGGAAGACTAGGGAATGGGACCTTCGTTCCCAATGGAAGATGCAGGGCGGACCTTAACGAGAGCGTCATCTTTTGTGCCAACTAGGAGCATCACCCCCTCCTGGTCGCATTTTGATCGCCGCCACATGCTGCGTGTGAAAAGGAATCGGGAAATGGAACGATTTGATGGTAGCTCTCATGATCCATTCTCCAACTCGAGACTTCACACCCGTGAGAACCGTATGAAGTTGATGGCGATATGAGGCAGCTGACGGGGGATAAAGTGAGAGAAATCAACTCGCAGGATTCAGTAGAATTGCCTTTGTTACGCAATACCGTGCAACTCTGCCCCCCGTTGCTCATGTGGACCGCAGAATCTTATCATTTAACGTTGTGCCTTCGATAGCTCAGCTGGTAGAGCGGTGGACTGTAGAGTACCTTAGCAGCCATCCATAGGTCGCTGGTTCGAGCCCAGCTCGAAGGCATGTTTTTTTTCTCTCTCTTTTCTTAAGATGATTCTCTAGCTTTTCTCTAGTCTCTGCAGAATTGAAACGAATTATATTCCTTTTCGCGCCTTGTCAGGTAGAGGATTCCGACCTTGAACACAAGGTACGAGATGGCAGTCGGATTCTGCTCCTCAGGGAATTAGTAGGTGATGCCAGTACGACTGAGGATATGATGGTGTTGTACACCCACTAGCGCCATCTTTATATTAAGTTTTTGGATGAACTCTAAGCCATTTAGAAATCAAAAGTGATCTGGACAGCTCATTTAGGAAAAGGAGTCTGTCTCAGTTGAACTACCAGTAGCTTAACTAGTAATGAGCTTGTTACTAAGAGGAGCTCAACTAGTAAACAGTTAATAGTACAGTTACTCGCTTAGCTGATAGTTCAAGTGTCTTACGTTCGCGTAAATCCAAATACGACTTGTCCAGCCGTGAGCCAAGTCAACCCAGTAGTTGCCGTTGATTTCGAAGCAGTTTAGTATGATTTCAGTTAAATTATTTTGGATTTCACTTTAAACTTGTCATGGTAATACAAAAGAGGGAGGCTTTCACCAGGTACACTGGGCAGCGAAGATTGTTCTGCTGAAATTCGTTGATTTTGCGGAAATGTGTATCTGGCGAGATTTATATAATTGTTTTTGTAGGATGTCTATCTGCCAGTGAATCTCACTCGATCAGCTTATTTTCAAGTCCGCTAACTAGGAATCTTCCATATCTTCATATCCTAATCATCTCACTCCATCTTGATCCATTTGTCTCCTAAAAGAGTTATGAGATCACCCAATATTTTCTTCGATCCAGCCTCTCCCTTGTGTTTCTCGTTTCAATTCGGTCGGTTTAAGTCGCTCAGTCACAGTCAGTCGCCCTCGTTCTCGGGGCGGAACCGGCTCTGCTCCGTACTCAAGTGCTCTACTCCGTAGTAACGTGTATGAGTCATGTACAGGATTCGTGTCTCTTATCTAATCCAGGAAATTATTTTTTTCGTCGGTTCTCTGCATGGAGTTATCTACGGTCTTTTGCGTCTTCTGCTTCCCTACGGTCTTCTCCACCTCCGAATATCGAAATACGTGCGTCGTTGCAGGTAATGCACACCAATTTTAGAATTTCCTTTTTCGCACAATCTGCATCATACTCTTCACGACTGTGTTCATCTATCGCTTCATCTGGCTCGTTTTCTTCTCGATTCCATACCTACTCTTCCGTTTGTTTTCGTTTTATTTTATTTTTTTCAAGTCCATGTTTGTCAGCAGTGCCTAGTCGTTGCGCATAATTTTTGTCATGCTGACTTCAGTCTAATCCTAAAGTTTCATTCCTGTGCACGGGAAGGCTCTCGTTCAGAAGTTGGACAGAAAATACTTGAAAATTATGATCATGGCGAGCAAGGATAGCAGAATATGGGATTATTATCTTCCGAATGAATTGAAAAAATGAAAAAAAGTTGGAAAATAGTTACTTGGTTTTTACTATAATTTCATCATTCGGTTATAGCTGGTTTCATCTGAGACCAGCAAACTATTTTTACAACGATCTTGCAGGAGTGCGTCACTGGTTGACAAGCTTTGAAGTAATTAATCTGAATTTGTTGTGTGAGAGAACTATTTGTTGCGGAATCGCTTCCAGATCCCTTTAGTCCTGGGAGGACAGGGTAACTGCTCAGAACGGCCATCCTCGTCCGGCGCGGGCTTTTCCGGGGGACAGTGGGCAATATTCTTTTCAAGGGTTTTTGTTATGGTATCAACGCTGACCTCGAGTTTGGATTTCGCTCCTTTTGACTCTGTCGAACAGGTGGGCCTAAATGACTCAGAATGGTCAAAATGCCAAGCGGGTGTCAAACCCTAGGATCTGATAGAAAAGGAAAAGAATAGGTCATATCTATTTCAGTTGCAACGATTTCCCTGCAGCATTCCAAAAGGAATGCAGTCGTGGTTCACTTCGCAAGTAGTGCTGCAGATGCATTGATTCAACTAATTCTCTCAGCTACCGATTTTCGATCTGCTGTAAGTTCTTGCACCACGTCCTCAATAACTACATCAACGGTAACTTCGGCTTTCACTCTGTTTATGAGACAGCTACTTCTACGACCAGTGGGACTTCTTCGGCTCGTATCACACCCTCTTCGAGCGTAACATCTTAATTGAAAAGTGGATCTCCTGAATCTTCCATGGCAACACAATCTGTCTCTGCTGTTGCTGCAATAAGGGCTGCAGACGCGAGTTCAGTTACACTTTCTACTTCATCTGGAAGTGGTGCACCTTCAGAACCATTCGGTCGGGCTCCATCGGCACTGGGAAGTGCCACACTATCCCAACCTGACAATGTAGCAACATCTCAAACTATTACAGGTAGTGTGGCACCACCTTAAGCTGTCGGAGCAAAACTTCTTAAGCAGCCTTTATTCGTACACTGTCCGAGTCACTTTTGTCTGCCAGTGAAGTACGAGTACCATCGGTTTCAACAATCCCTTTCATTTCCTTCACCCTTTGGTAGAGGGAAACCTGAAGTCGTCAGAGGAGTACCATCCTCCACTATTGACTAGCTGCCAGTGGACCAATATCAAGGGATAGAGAAGCTTCTCAGGACGCATTGTCTTTCGCAAGCAAAAGCGCATCAGGAAGTAAGGGAACTTCAGTTCTGGGCCGATTTAGACTAGAGCTAGGAAACTGGAAGAAACACTGGAACGCTTTCATCTGACCCGTCGCAAGCAAGGGTACAGATGGAAATGTCTGTCCCTATTCGTTAGTCTAGGTTCAAATTTGAAACTTTTCAGCTCCCACAGAGAAATCACCCTCTCAGCATGTCCTTCAGTGAGTGAGAATGCCTTCTCCAAGAACTCCAACTCGTCTCCGTGCAGCTGTACTCCATCAATTAAGGGGAACACTTCGATTCCAGGCAAGACGTGATTTTGATTTCTATCGATCTTTCGGAATCATCACCCCTCCAGAATAAAATAAATAGCACATGTGATTGTTATCGTTCGAATTTTCTTTGACATGCTCATGGCTTCTCTACTATCAAGCCTCTCCGGATTCCATATCGCTTTCGCGGCTACTAGAGGCTGATGCTCTGCGTTTACGCACCTCCTTCCGTCGGTCTCCCATCTTCTTTCTCAGCCTCTCGTCTCTTTCTCTGATCGTCGTTTGGATCTGCTCCACCGTGAAACCCCTGAACGAAAACACTTTGCATCGAGCGGCATCTTCCGATGCAATACCGTTATGGTCTAACGTAGTGAGGAAATGTGTTACGAGGCCCTGAAGCACATGGTGAGACAGAGAGCACAGAGCACCAACGTGATGACAAACAAAAGGATCGCACCAATATGCTCTAGAGCTTCCATTTGGAACAAGAACTATTCGTACTGCACGAGGTCAAATAGGAGTCTCTAAACAATGCCCGTTACCTTGCGTCGACGAAGATGATCCATTCTGTGTCTCCCTGGATGCACGAATGACTCTATGGCAAGTCGGTGACTTGGAATGCACGACTGACGCTTCCGCTAAGTCAGCCAGATGTCTCTAGCGGGCGATCGAGGATCGTCACGTGGGCTGCATGTTGCAGGGGTATGCCTCGTACACTGTCATTTCTTGGACGATGCGCTAGTCCCAAACCGAATGAGAGGAGAAAGCGTGTTTTGCTTTGTCTTAAATCCATCACAGAGGAAGTGCTGCGTATCATAAGGGTAGCGAAGAACTATTGCCCTTTGCGCTGGATCTAATGTTAGATTCTCTTCGATCTATCGAGTTATCTTATCTCTTTTTTGACTGGAGGAACATGACTCACTTTTCCTGGAGTTCTGACTAATAGAACCCAAAATGCGAAGCGTTACATATAAATGTGTAGGAGCGAGGCAGGTAACCATATTTCTTTCCCCTCATCCCCTCTATGCATACTTTGATAAGAATGTATAGTGTTTGGTTTGGACTGCCAGGCTTTACCTATAGACTTCCTCGCTAAGTCTTGAAGCTTCTTCATGAGTTCACTTATCATGATATACCCCTTAGAACGCAGTACGACGTCAGATTATGAGGCAAGGACTAACGACCCTCCGTTATCCTCGACAGCACTTTAGTGAAGTGAGGTAGAACCCATTCCGACTATGACGGGCATTTACCTACTCTTCCCTATTCTCATCGTTATATACGTCCCAGCAAACAATTTGAAACGCATGTCGAATCAATGTTGAATCAACATTAAATAAACGTTAGGAACGTTGATACAACATAGCCTTGCTTGCTGGGGTGATTGCTATGTTTTCATCGTTATTGATGACATCCGAGATAAAGAAAAGAAAATGTTTACAATTTAATTGAAACCTGAAGGTGACGGTGATATAGCGATTCTTTCTAGATCGCATATGGGATTCTGGCACCGTTGCAAACAAGATTGGAGTCGAATTCCCGTTCTTTCATCTCTTCAGAATAAAACGTTTTCAGTGCTGTTTGTATGTCATGAAATCACCACGAATTGCTCTATCGTAATGCTTTAATAGCGAGGTCGAAAAATTAAAACTGGTTCCATAATCTACTTGAATCTCAAAATAAGACGTTTAAAAATTGTCATCATAATGCGATTGCATCCTAATAATGCTTAGGATGTAACCCTGCTCACGATGTAAGCACGGTTGCATCCATGTTCCTCGGGCACCCCATCCTATGAAGTGTCATCTTGGAAAAATTCTCGTCAGTAAGCCATTCGTGGTCAAGTTCCAAAAATTCAAGGTTTCCAGGGTGTCAAGTCAAAATCGGGCATAATTGGGTCTAAAAAGCGCGCTTTTAATGCTTCTTGTCATAAATAACCCAGCTATCGATCGTCGGTTCGAATAACGTGAATTTCTTCTTTCCGCTGATGGAGCTGCCGAGTCTCGTGATTCTCGACCCTTATTCCTCCTTGGTGACCGGCCGACCTCGCGATGTAGAGCGGGACCCAGGCCAGGAGGAGCATGACGCCGAGGACGATGGCGGCCTTCGAGACCGTGCTCGAGATCAGCAGGGGGGTCAGGAGTCGAGTGTGGAACAGGGCTGCCGTCTCTGGGCTCAGGATCGCTTTCTGCAAGAACGGAATCTTGGTGAATAATAACTCTCATAATACTGCCCTGAGAGGATCTTTTGAAGAATGCTTGCGTCATTTGGAATTTGGGTCCCGGATCTCTGGATTCCATGAAAAAAAAAATGAGACAAAGAAAAATGACCTTAAGTAAACCGTCAGTGTCCGATGTCATCTCATCCGTCATGATCCCCGTATAAGATGCTTCATCATCGAGAGATACGTCATATTAGCCTGAAAATAGGTTGTTCCTGCTGAAAGGGACGATACAATTCATCCTGAGTTCATCTTGGCAAGCTCTATTCCTTCAACCAACTTCAAGTCATGAATTTTCCTGAACCCGGAAAACAAGTAGAATTCGCTGTCGCTTTGGGAGCCCCAACCTTGGAGAAATGCTGTTGAACCGCTCATTTGATCTTTGTGTATCGACGAAAGAAATAATTTGACTTTTGCTAACGCTATTTGTTGTTCCACAATAGAGCAAATTTAAAATGCAACTTTAAAGCATAAATTAGTACTTTTTACCACGATTCTGACTCGCAAATAAATGGTGGATTTAATCTATTAGCATACCATATTCTGCTTATCGCCGTAACTAAGCAGCGTTTCTTAAGAGACTTCTGTTGTCCCTTTACATGACTGTTTATTGTTTATCTAAGTACCTCAAATTCGTTCTATAAATCTAATTGCTTAAGCCACTGCAGTCAACCTAGATGTGCACGCGATGACATCAAAATGTCCTTGAAGATGCTAAATCGCTATTCCCGTTTGCACGGCACTGCTTGAGTTGAGATAGGAAAATGAGCTGCTCTGCTTGTGAACGATTAGACTAGGCGTGACTCCACACGAGCATAGGAAATATGCTTTCAAGACAAAAAATGGTGGGCCACCGCCCGTGAGAAAAGTTTTAGCCGCAGCAAAATCACGACGAGGTTAAGAGAGGGAAGGGGAGTAAAAGCAAACTCGGGACTAAGAAAGGGATGCGAATTTGTCTTATAAAGCAGAGTGCTATTTTTTTTAATAATAATTATTATATACCTTCATCCTATGTTCTTTTGCACATGGCATCTCGGGTCAATAAGAAAGATTTCTGCCAGCTTTAAAAAAAAAAGTTAACCTAGTTCTTCGAATGATTAACAGTTCTTCGTTTTATGAGCTTCATTAAAATAAACAAGTAAACGAAAGAGGTACTCGGTAACGCTACAATAGCGGAACGAAAGTAACGTAGAAAATTTTCAATATAGCATAAGGAGAACTGAATAAATATATCCCACTGCCTCCGTTAATGAACATCAAAAAACGAAATAGGAAGTCAGCCATTAAAACTTTTCATTCGATTGTTTGACCGATTCGCGTACCTAACCGTCTCCGAGACTGGTTCGTGCAGAGGTCTGTTATTATCGATGGAGTGGCCTGTTAGTCAATGATATGGTCGTTAGATGGCGTGATATGCCTTCTTTTAGGTTCTAGTAATCCATAGGTGTTTGAATCCCTGCCTTGGTCGTATTTTTACATCGTAATTTACGATTGAAATGAGAAACGTTATTGCCGTGAAGTTGCCATCTCTAGTTTACAAAGCTGGAGTTCAGGAAAAGATTGAGGGATGAAGGGTGTGGAAGACATCCTAATAAATAGTGATTCTGATGAGGATTTCGGCAGTAACATTGACAGTGAATCAAGTGAGAGTGACGCTAAATGTGAAAATGAAAGTGAAAGTGAAGTGGAAGACGCTTGTGCCGTATTTCACGGCAAATCTTAGTAAGAAAAAAAAAGGTATGTGAATGATGGTAATCATGCGGGGAAGAAATCATCGAGACAGTAGAATATTTTTGTTGCAACAAAGGAAGGTCCTTTTGCCCCGGAATTTTTAGGTTCTGTACAGAAACGATTATTTAATTTTCAATGCAATCTCTGATTTCTGCAAAAGAGAAGCTAGATGCTCACACAGGAGGATTAGTTAAGTATCATGAAAACGTTATGGGACGTTATAGCGTTACTCAACATAGTTTCATTCAACTTTGTAACGAAGCACGGGATTTAAGTTACGTCTTTTTCATTGTGTAACATGCTGTAGGTATTATTTTGAAGCGACGCAAGGGAAAGGGGCCCACAAAACTGCGCTCTTCCCGAAAATTGGGATCTGCATAGATTCTAGGAGTGACAAAACGAATAATGCGAGAAACAACAGTGCTAGATTTATGTTAATCCGGTCAATATATCGTAGAAAGGGTGGGGAAGCACATGGCCTTTGCTTCTTCGGGGAAATGATCTTCAAAGTTCCGAAAAATCCTTTCCAATCCTCTCTCTCTTTTTTTTTTCTTCACTCAACCTCTTTTCAATATGACAAGAGTATTCCCTGTAATATGGGTAACTTTCTTCAAACTGGACTTTGAATTTGAGAATAGTCCACTGAAGGACATTGATGACTTGCTTGCTCATGCAGTTGCCCTAGACAGTCACGTAAAGCCCAAATAGATGAGATGCCTGACTCCGGATGTCATGTCACATCACATCAACGTAACCGAAGCACGAATATGTCCGTGTATGCCTAGAGTGAAAGTTTAAAGTGAAGAACATTGAACCTGTACCTAATACTTGAAATAATGAAGCATGACGGAACTTCTGGTGTAACTGAAAATGTAACATAATAAAGAAAAAGCTAACCAAGCCCTGTCGCTAAATACGTGAGGTAAAGCTCGCGATGAACTTTGCCCAGTTTTTCCTATCGTCGGTTCCATCGTCTGCAAAGAATGGCGAGCTACCGTTACTCACCTCTTCGAGCCACGTGACGGGGAAAATCATATCAGGAACGCCCTGGAGAGTGGGGAATCCGGCCAACGGTGCCAGCTGGAAGCTCACCTGCACTTTCTTCGACAACCTCAGAGGTACTCCGCTATTCTGGAAAGGGTTTCATCCCGTCATCGAGTTGGTTTCATCTCGGTGTTAAGAAGGGAACGATAACGATCGCTCACTGGTTCCAGCTCGGCGTAGCTGCCGTGTTCCTCCTCCACAGGCTTCAGTCCCGGCGCGTCGTTCACGAATTTGGGGTCGGCATGCAGGAAGTGAGGCGAGGACAACGTCACCGGCGATTCTGCGAAACTTTTCTCGTCACTCGACTCTCCGGAGAGCATAGGGGAGGTCGAAATATGCAGGGATGTGACATACCCAAGCAGGACGAGGAATTGAGGACTCCGTTGCCGAGGCATTCCTTCGTTTCGCAGAAGCACGCGTTGGCCGGGTCATCGCGAGAACTTACGTATGTGCACGGGGGTGGTCTGAATCGATAGCCGGGGACGCCCATGAATTCCATCGGTTCCCTATAGGTCATGTGAGCGGATCTGCGAACGAGGAGAGTGCTCGAGGGACAGTCATCGGTCGGAATTTCCTTCGAATCGGGTCGGGAACTCACCTGCAGACGTCGGGGTTGAACGCATAAATTTTCGATTCCTTCGTGAGGAAGGGACGGAAATTGTTGCCGTCCGTGCCGTTTATCATGGAGCAAGGCGTGTCGCCCCACCACGGCACCTTCGTCGTGTACTGATTCCAGCGCAGGATGCGAGTGTAATCTTCTGGATTATTCTTGCCTGTAGCCACCAAGTAAAGTCCATCGTCTGTGTCGTTTCTCTAACTCGACAGATAAAAGTGCCAATGAAAAATTTTTTTATTATCTCTCTGATAGTTCGCAGTTTTTTGCGGTTCGACTCACCTCTATGTATATCCCCATTTTGTCGTCCTTGACACCCCTGAAATTTTTTATTCCCATGTTCTTGAGGAGCTTCAAAATTGGGTACCGCTTACCCCAGTAGAGTTCTTTGACCTTAATCCTTTGCATCAAGGTCATGTTGAACCGCGTCCATATGAGTTCCGCGGTGAATGGGGCGATAAACGGCAGCTTCAAGTCTTTTGCGCGATGAGCCATTGTCTGTTTTTAAATTGTTTATAAGAAGCGTTAACTCCTTCTTAATTTCTTATAATAGGATGGAATGGACATACAGACCAATAGAACTGGATTCAGTGTGTAAATTTCGTCGGTCTCCTTCCCCTTTGACATGTCTGGCTGGAAGTAGAAGGCTCTATACTGTCGGTAACTTAAGGTTCCGTTGTCGTAGAAGGTTATATTACGCTTCTCCATGAATTCCCTGGAAACGAGGAATTTTGCACGCGTGAGAAAGCGTCATGAGAAAGCGACACGACTACACGACTCGCTCGAGAATCGGCAACAACTCGCTTCTCACCAGTAGACATAGGGACCCAGTTCGTGGAACCTCGGTCTTTGCCCTTTCGATTGCCAGTCCGGATTGGTGACGTTGAACACGTACGTGTACCAGTAGACAGGCACGAATGGTTTCACCCAGTGGTCGTATGTCTCCACTCCTTCCTTCAACGTGGCTAACTGGGTACCCGGATGAGCCAAGGAAATGTGAGGAAATCGGTAGGAATGGAGACGTGCTCCGATTCCTTGCTGGATCTGAGTATCTGAGTATTCTGCAGAAGCAGTAAGTGAAATTCGTAAAGCGAGATGTTCCTTCGTTTTAGAACCGAACCCGGGACTTTCGTGAAAGCGGATCTGTTCTATCGCGAGGAGCAGGCCGGTCGAAGCCGACCGTTTAGGAATATTGAAGTTGCTCCCGAAAGGAGAAGAAAGCTCTGGAGCTACTAGACGGACAAGTACTTCTTCCCCCACTACTGCATAAGGCACTCTTCCGGCTCTCGCTGCTTTTGCTTCGGCTGCGGGTTGTCGTTCCCAGGAACGCGCCGCCAGGAGTTGTAGCAGCTCAGATCGTGAACGGCAGAGCCTTTCCCCTCTCCTTCCTTTCCCGTCGCGTACTCCGCGGCCTCAACTTCTTGACTTCTCCGCGTCGCAGCGAGCGATGCGATTCTGTCGACTTGCCGTTTCTCCCGGAATTTTGTCGTCTCACTGGCCTACCTAGGCAACTCTCTGACTCATCCCGGTCGCTCATGCCGGCAGGTCTCTTCGTGAATAAATTTACGAAATGTAAGTGGAAACATTTTCCTCGTTCGAGAGAATGCAGGTCTGTTAACAGATCAATTAACCCCTTAAATGGACTCGCCGCATATGTGCGGTCTGGCACCTGCCTTCTCTCAATGGAATCACCGCACATATGCGTTCAAAAGTTCCCAGTTAAGGGGTTAATGGAAACAAAAAGAATGGGTCAGTTGCTTGCATCATCTAGTCCTAGCTCTATTTAGTTTTTGGGGGATCCCATCATTGGAATAAACCTGAGTTTATAAGTTACAGCTCCTCACTGCCGTGAAAACGGTATTGACGCCAACCAGAATAAATGGTGTTTAGGTGTAAAGGTGGATCAATGAAGGAGATTCCAGCTTGCTTGTGGAAAGGGAAGCACTCACCTGGTGAGAATGTAGGAGCTTTTAGAAGCAAGATAAGGCATTCCTCGAAAAAGGACTCGAAGTTGAGGTGAGAACTTGTTTGATGCAGAGGAGAAGAAAGAATAATCGCCTGGCATTCAGAGAGATAAGTCTCAGAACGAAGGGGTCGATGCAAATCAAGGAAGGGAGAAAGCTTCATCGGATTTTATCTATCCGGCACTTGAGGAGTTAGCATCGATTATCTTGCGGAATTCCTGCTGTCGGCGTGGAGTGCTTTCTTCTAATTGGCCGAACTGGTGCGATTCGCGTGGATCCTGCTTCACCTCTTCCCTTGGCCTGATGCATGAGTGAGTCCAAGGGGGTTCACGGCGAAGATTCTCGTTTGCTTTGCCTGGCGCGTAGGGTAAACACCCCAATTTTTTTGCCTTCGCCGAGCTTGCAATGGCTCTACTGTAATTGAGGCAAACCGGTGAGACGATTCTTTTAGCTTCAGGGATAGTGAAATAAGATGCAAGTACTCTAGTATCATTAATTTCCCTTCATTCCTGAAGCATCATTACATATAAACAAAATTGTAATAATGTCACGAAAAACCCAGTTGTTGGTCACTTTACGCCAGTTGTTGGCCACAAGCCTTTTCAAAATGAAACATTTATTCCCTCAAGAAAAGAAGGAANATCTGCGAACGAGGAGAGTGCTCGAGGGACAGTCATCGGTCGGAATTTCCTTCGAATCGGGTCGGGAACTCACCTGCAGACGTCGGGGTTGAACGCATAAATTTTCGATTCCTTCGTGAGGAAGGGACGGAAATTGTTGCCGTCCGTGCCGTTTATCATGGAGCAAGGCGTGTCGCCCCACCACGGCACCTTCGTCGTGTACTGATTCCAGCGCAGGATGCGAGTGTAATCTTCTGGATTATTCTTGCCTGTAGCCACCAAGTAAAGTCCATCGTCTGTGTCGTTTCTCTAACTCGACAGATAAAAATGCCAATGGAATTTTTTTTTTTATCTCTCTGATTAGCAGTTTTTTTGCGGTTCGACTCACCTCTATGTATATCCCCATTTTGTCGTCCTTGACACCCCTGAAATTTTTTATTCCCATGTTCTTGAGGAGCTTCAAAATTGGATACCGCTTACCCCAGTAGAGTTCCTTGACCTTAATCCTTTGCATCAAGGTCATGTTGAACCGCGTCCATATGAGTTCCGCGGTGAACGGGGCGATAAACGGCAGCTTCAAGTCTTTTGCGCGATGAGCCATTGTCTGTTTTTAAATTGTTTATAAGAAGCGTTAACTCCTTCCTAATTTCTTATAATAGGATGGAATGGACATACAGACCAATAGAACTGGATTCAGTGTGTAAATTTCGTCGGTCTCCTTCCCCTTTGACATGTCTGGCTGGAAGTAGAAGGCTCTATACTGTCGGTAA